TCTGTTTGTATATCGGCAGCTCTATCTTGGCTTGTTTGGTGTTATGTGTGTTGTCGCCTGCCGGCTACAGTAGTTTGTGCTTAACCCCTGTTGTTGTTTCACACCGGTTGGTCACAGTGGCGGGAGGAGTCTAGCTAGCCTAGACAATTGCAACAAAGCAAAGCAAAGCGAAGTGTTGTGTTTCAAGAGATCTGCCCTCTGATGATCTGAGGAATGGAGTCGGCAGGGGCGGCGGCAGCGAGCGGGGGGACAACAGCAAAAGCCGCAGCAATCCAGGCCTGCGCGTCCGCGGCTGAGCTGTATGCAGTGGCGAGCGGGACGGCTGAGCGCCCGCCGCCACCACCAGCGTCCCTCGCGGGGCTGGCGGGGGCGGTCGCCGCCGGCGCGGCCGGTTTGCTTTGTGAACGGCAACTCCGTCAGCTCTGTGTGCTAAATACAGCTAAATCGGCGTCAGAAGCACCTGACACCGGCAACTGCGGCTGGGGCGCGCCGTGCACTGGCGGTAGCAGTCATGCGTCTAGGGCCTCCTTCATGTGTGCCTGGCGGGTGTGCCTCGTGCAGTCAATGGCGCTTTCCTTGTGCATACTCCACGTCTCATCACCCGGTCCTCCTGATGCAGTAGTTCTTTGCCGTTTTCCTCTCATGTGGTTATCTGATCAACACAAGTCTTACCGTCTTCCGTCAGTCCTTGACCCTCAACTCTTCCCGTTTGTTCCACATCCTTTCTTCACCAAATTCTGTCGCCCTCACAGTCCATGACTCTCTCCTTCTCATGCGGTCAACTCCTCTCAGCACCAACTCCACTGTTTACAATCACTCATGGACCCGTTATTTATCTCAGGGTCAGCCTGCCCTTTCCACCCAACCCACCCTCCATGCATGCACAGCTTTTTGCCTTGAGGCTGATGCGCGTGCAGCGCTGCTTGCTGGTGCTTGCCATGTCGGACAGACCGGCGTGCAGACCCAGACTGCGCGGGGACGGCCCCAAGAACTAGCCAGAGTCGGTCAAAACTTGAGGGGGACCGGCCCCGTGCAGCCCCGCCGTCGGCCAACGCGGCCCTGGTGGCAGGCGTGCGTGCAGGGTCTGCTGGTCCTGCACACACGCCTCACCCCCTCAACCAAAGCCCCACCCATCCTGCTGCTGCCCCGTGCAGCGTGGGGGCCGCAGAGGACCCCGGCAACAGGCCGTGCGCCCTCCCTGCGCTGCAGCAAGCAGGAATATGTAATGTCTGCGCTCCGCCGAGGCGGGGCCGGATTGCAGCCACCATACCCGCCCTTTTGGGGGGGGGACACCACGTTACAGGGGGACACGCAGGACGATACAGACACCGGTCACAGAACACATGCCGCACACGGCTGAGCAGCCTGCTCTAACGCACCGACGCGAGGGGCCGCAGAGCCACGCGCGGGCGTGCCGCGTCAGAGCCCCGCCTCCTGTGGCGTCTTTGTCTCCATGCTGAGCGCGTGCACCCCCGCCTTGATCTCGTCGTCCAGCAGCCTGTAGATCATCTGGTGCCGCTGGACCAGCCGCTTGCCGTCAAACTCACTCGACACCACCGCGACCCTGGGGGGCGGGGGGCAGCGTTGTCAGATCGCGTCACAAATCAGTGAGCTGTGGAGGCAGCGCGGCAAGGGGGCTACGATTGACCAAACAGCGGGGTCAAACGCACGCGCGCCGTGGTGCGAGGTGTACGCCAATGCAGGCGGACGCACACAGCGCAGAGCGACCGCTGGGGGGTGCAAGTTTGTCGTCAACCCCTGTGCGGGTCTCACTTGAAGTGGGTCTCTGCATCGGGGTTGCCCAAGGGGTTGCCCGAATGGCCCGCATGCTTGTATGACTCATCGATGATGTCCAGGCGCACCGGCTTGAGCGCTGCCTCAAGTTTCCTGAGAGCCGCGTGTTAGAGCCAGGCTGTCACGCAGGGTCAAGTCGGCGGGCACCAAAACAAGACCGGGCTGGCTCATTGATGCGATTGCACCAGGCTAGCAAAGGCAACTAAGAGGCTACAACTGGTTCAAAATCTGACGTTGCGCAGTACGGCCACGCTCGGGCCCACCCAGGGCGGCAGCGGCAGGCAAGCACATGCAGTGGCGCGGTGCAGCACAACAAGCGCCGCCATGCTGAGGACCTTACCGCTGCATGCTGGCAGCGATTGGCCGCACATTTGGCTGCGACGTCGCTGCCATCACAGCCCGTGTGAGCATGCTTATCGCGCCAGATCAAAAGATTCAATGGGCCTGTGGTTGTGTATGCTCGAAAGACGACGCAGGCAATCGGCATGTATGATAGCTGTTGTGAGATCATTGAGGCTCCTCAGAAGCCTAGACCCTACCAATGTGGGTTGACTACGGCGTGCAGCCACTGAGCCTCTGCCATGCGCTTGCCGCTGCCGCCAAATGCAGCCACCACTTTGTCAACTTTTCTTCTTGGGAACGCAGCTGGCTAGCATTCGTTACATCAAGAGCTGCTGCATGAGCGTGTGGCAGACAACTTTGCCTGTGCGGGTTGTCATCGGCGCCAGGCGAGAACCATCTGGGTGCCCCCTTGCGCGACGGCCGGCCTTGTCAGCTGAGGTAAAGTTGTCCCTCACGGCATGGCTGCCGTAAAGACAGTGGCTCTCCATCAAAGCTACATGTTGGGGGGACTGTGAATGGCTCATATTGTTATGACACGAGCTTGCACCATCACACAGTTGTGCACGTTGCAGCATTCCCTGCCCCCGACCATGTACCGGACAACTCGTTCTGCAGGAAGCTGTCGATGTGTTACAGTTTGCGGCAGCAACCTCCACCGCAAGAGGGGGATTTATGTGAGCAGCGTCTGGGGCCGCAGCCATGGCAGCTTCCCCGCCGGAAGCTCAATGCGACTGCTACCAGGGCCGGCGGTTCCCACCCCACGGGGCCGCATGCAGCAGTCTGCGGAGCAGTCAAATCTCCTGCCCTGCCCCCAGCAGCCACCACGGCGCGGTGCAGGGCATCATGCCCTTAGTGTTGGTTCTGCACGCACGCAGCATGTGCGTGTCCCTCATGCAGCGTACAGGTCAGCTGGCAAGAAAGTAGAGACCCCGCAATCGTACCCAAATTCATGCGTCCAAGAAGGCAGCGTAGCGCATGCATAACACAGTGATAGCATGCGCATGCCAAGTGTGGAGAAGTCTGCATCCAGATCCCAGGGAAGCCCTCACGTTCGACCTCAACAGCTGCGCCCCTGACCAAACCGATGCGTTGAGTAGCGGCCGAGCTCACTACAACCCTGAGCGCGGCCCCGCCGCGCAGGCTCACGAGATGCCTGCGGGCGTTGGCGCGCGACGCGGGCCCCCGCCGGCTGCCTGCAGGCCCTTCACCTGCGGGCGCCGCCGCCGCCGCCGCGCCGGCCGCCCAGCAGGCCGGTCAGCAGCGTCCCCAGGACGGCGACGACCGCGGTCGCGACGGTGCCCGCCACGACCTGCTGTGTGCGCCCGCGCTCGCCGACAAAGACGGCCTGTGGGCGCAGGGTGCAGGGGCGGAGAGAGTGTGTGCGTGTGCGTGTGTGCGGCTTGAGTGTGTGTGTATGTGTGTGCATGTGCTTGTGTGAGTGTATGAGTGTGTGTGCATGTGCGTGCGTGGGTGGATGAGTGTGTGTGCATGTGGGGGCGCAACAGCAGATGAATGTGGGAGCGTCTGTCAAGAGCACACGGGGCGGCCGAAAGCAGGCTGCATCCCAATCCAGGAAACGGCACTGGGAGTACGCCAGCCGGCCAGACGTCGTCAGGGCCACAGCTTGCAGTCCCAATGCGCAAGCAAGGGGCTGGCCTATCCTAACCCCTCCCCGGCATGGCATATGGGGACGCAGGGCTGCGGGCGAGGGCGCGCGCGTCGCCCACCCGCGTCTCCTGGGTCAGCTGCACCGCCGTCGTGCTGGCGACCTCCACCGCCTCCTTAGCCGCCTCCACCACCTGCACCTTAACAGACTGCGCGCGCTCAAACACCAGGCTGGCCGCCGCGGTCGCCTGCGTGGACAGGGTCGCCGCGGCGGCCGCGGCTGGCTCCTGCGCCCCGGCCGCGGCGTCCTGCACGGCCGCCGCCGCGCCGGACGCCGCGGCGGCCGCCTGCGTCGCGGCCGCGGCGGCGGCCTCGGTCGTGGCCTCGGACGCGGCGTGCGCCTTGGACGCGGCCTCGGACGCGGCCGCGGCGGCGTGCTCCTTGGCGGCGGCCGCGACGTCGTGCGCCGCCGCGGCCACCACCTGCGACTTCTCGGCGGCCGCCTCCCTCACCTCGGCC